AACAGATCATGATTGTAGCCCACAAAATTCTGATTAAAATGAGACATCTCCCACTTCTACAGGACCTTTCTTTGCAAAGTTATAGAATTTACAAGAAAAGCCCTAAATTAATTTCTTATTTCTGTAGCTTTGAGCTGACAATGAACATTTAGAGCTTTTCTTGTAAATTCTATAACTTTGCAAAGAAAGGTCCTGTAGAAGTGGGAGATGTCTCATTTTAATCAGAATTTTGTGGGCTACAATCATGATCTGTTAAGAGAAAATTTTAGGGGCTTTTCGAGGTTTTTGGAAAACCAATTTTGCAGAAAACCGCTCTAGTAAGGCCTGGCGGCTCGTCTCATATGGATATTCGGAATCAGCGTGGGTGATAACCTATAATCCATTAGGTCTCGACCAGAAAGTGATTAGACAGTTGGAAAAGGTCCCTCGTAAGTAAATCCCCTTTGAAATGCGAAACACCAGTTTTATTCGAACACTTGAGTATAATCGAGAAAGAATATTTTAGATGTATCTTTGAGAGTCTTGATCTCTATATCTTACATCAGGAAGTAATCAAACGTTTTACTTCTTCCATCTTAAAACTTTTACTGCTAGTAACCAAAGGACAGTGAGGATAATACATCTAATATGAATTTGAGAAAAAGACATGTTCAAACTAAAGGTCCAGTATGCTGTGCAAAGGGTGAAAAATTGACTAAGCGGAACAGCAGTGAGATTATTTGAGACAAAATAAAAAAATCGGAACTATTCATTGTAAAATTTGAACGAACAATCTTCAGATTTGTATGAAGCCATGAAATATATGAAAATGATTAGAACTAAGAAAACTTCATCTACCAGTAGAGCAAGAGAAAGAAAAGTTTTTTAGAATCTTGTTATTAGACACTGATTAGATTGTTTCCTGACAAACAAAAGGAACAACTTTGTTTAACATTACAATCGCTAATGGTACTGTAAAAATGATTTATATATTTGATGTTTTGTTATCATTTTTCTCAAACAAAATGTATTCATTCCTTGTAAATCAGGAAAAGGAGTAGAGAGAGTACCGTTTATGATTGTTGCAAGTACAAAAATTCTTCTTTAAGATGAACCTTTTCTCAGAAAATGTTTTCTACACTGTGCAACCAATTTACACAAAATTTTTGTGAATGAGACACTATCAAAAGACTCGGATAAAAATTTCGACCCAAAATATTGAGTTGTTCACGACTTGTCAATGTCGCAGGGTGCAAAATGAAGCCAGGAATACAGTCAGGTGTGTGTGGGAAAAAATAAAAATTTTTCGAAAAGCGATAAGCATTCTTAAAGAAGAACTTTCGTACTCACAACAATCAGAAATCCTATTCTCTCTTTCTTTCCGATTTAGAAGAAATCAACACGTTTTATTTAAGAAAAATGATAGTAAAATGTCAAATACATAAATCATTTTCATAGTACTATTAGCGACTGTTATGCATTGTTCGTGTATACTATTAATAATTTTACTATTTCTCAAGTAGGTATGCGCCAGTTGCAGTTAAGCAGCAAAACTGCTATAGTTAAAACTACTGCAGTTAAAAACTGTTACAGTTAAGGGCATCCCCTTATTTTTGACAAAATGTTCACTTGTAAGTTATACATAGCCAAATGTGAAGGAAAGTCTGGGTTACAAAATGAGTCCATCTTCAGCATTCCATGGACTTTTTTTTGAAAAAGTTATGAATCCTTTAAATTTTTCTAAAGAGGTTGAAAACATCAGTCTTTTAGATTCATAAAATTTTCTCTCCTTTCCAGTGCATTCAGTCGTCAGTGGTCATAAATGCCCCGGAAGAAGTGACCTATCTAATGTTACTTTTAGGTCACATGACACGACCCCACGAAAAAATGGTCCAGTAGAGCTCAACTTTTTAATACAGATACTTCATACTCTAGTAGGTTCTAAGTCTTTTTTAAGCGTTTTCAAGTTGAACTTTCGGCCTGAGAAAGGTTTTAGATTTTTGCGATACGAAATAAAATAAGATTTTGTTAAACAAAAAATATCGATGTATTAGAAACCAAACTAAAATTCAAAGACATAATTTAAATGGAACTTTTTTCTTATTTCAGGCCTTGAAAAAATCAGAAACTTTGCTTTTATATATATTTTTTTTCTGACAGTTATGATCAGTTTCGATTATCAAATGTATCAGGTTTACAGTTCTGCTGTTTTTACAGTGCATACCTATCCTCAAGCGAGTAACGCTCATATGCAATTTACTTAATCTTTGATTATACAAACTGTATTTTTACTTATTGATAAGGGATCCATAGCTGCTTTTTTTGAGAGTATCGACATTAAGCAATTCTAATAATATCAGTTTTGTATTTTTGTATTTTTAGAATGTTTTTGTATTCTCCTACTTGACCACCAATGTACTTTACTTCAATTGTTTTGGCATTATCCAAGTTAGTATTATTTATTACTGAAAAATATTATTATTCTTTTCTTACTAAATAAAACTATAACAAGAAAAGAGACGTAAAAGAACTCTTAAAGCTTAAAAGATATTTTATAAAAACAGACAAGAATAATTTTGTTCAGAAATAAAAAAAACTATTATATAATAAGGGATATTTCGGATTATTAATAAATTACTTCAAATGCATTATGTTCTCAAAAGGAAATTCACATCTGAGCAAAAAAAAAAATATGAACCTCTGTTCATATACACACTGAAAGAGAGAATATTGGAATGAAAACGAAACAGTTAAAAAAGAGAAAATAACTATAAAAATTTAAAGATATGCACAAAAAAAAGGGACGGATGAACACTTTTTGATCACAATATATGGTTAATGAAATATGACTATCTACGGTTTAAGCACATTAGACACAAAGAGCATAAGAAATCACACTACTTTCGTTTATGTTTATGCGTATTTTATTCTACTAATGAGGACACTTCAGTTCTAGAAAGTTCTTGCAAGAAACTCTTACAATTTTATAAGTTCTTAAGAGAAAAAATTTTAGAAAATAAAAAAGAAAATTAGATTAGGATTTTTCTTTATCAAATATTCTGTGTATAAAGCAGTATTTTCAACAAAAAAAATCTTGCCAATAAAAATTCGTTCAGAGTGACGTCCGTCCCTCGTCATATGACCAAAAAAAGTATTATTAAAAAACTATATGGCAACACTTGGATAAAAAATCTCGACAAAAACAGAAAAAGGATTAATTAAAAAAAAATGTCGAGTGTACTGTTAGTAAAATGTACGGATAAACTGTTCTCGAGATGGAGATTTTCTCAGATCTATAAGAACAGTAACAAATTATATTGCAATCCATTGCACAAAAATAGTGCACACCTTTCTTTTTGCAGAGAAAAATGGTGTTGTTTTTTTTCATAGATTTTGCCAAAAAAGAAAAGAGAATGTATATGTTGCGCAACTGGAAGACAGCAAAAATATTCACTGAGATAATAACAGTAGTAGAACATGTCAAACACGAAAAAACAACACGAACAATTTTAACAAAAGTTGAAGGATATAAAACATCCAATGCGATAAAAATAAATAAATTTTTTTGAAATATTTACAATAACGAATTTGTTTTACGATTAGCAAAACTTAATTCTAATCTGGGTATCAATGTAAACTTATCATTTGCTTTTACCTACTCTGAGCAGACGTCATACTCCATCCAGATGGTGTCCGAGAATGATGTTGATTGTCATTCAGTGATTGTTGTCGTTGTTGTTGTTGCTTTTGACTCAAATCTTTTTCTTGTCTCGTTTTTTCACGTACAGTTAACTGGATACTTTGGTTTTCTTTTTGTACAATAGCATAAAATACATTACAATAGTCAGGTATGACAATTTCTAAAATAAAACAAATAATCGCATGTTGAAAAGTGTCCTGTTATTTTCAATTTTTTAAATATCAGTTTCAGTTAATAAATCAGTTAAAAAAATACTTTATCTTACTCTTCTCTGGTAATTGTTGTTCAATACAGTAATTTTCATAAACAGTTGGATTTAATCCAAATTTCTCCAATACAGTTTTCAATACGCTACTTGTTCGTTCATTGTTACGGATCTAAACAGTCATGTATTTAATAAAAAATGAATATATGAGATAGTTAATTTTAATCTTACTCGAATACTTTTATATAATAGATCAGATTTACAAGATAATCGTACTTTAGCTACAATAAACTCATCAATAGTTGGTGACGAACAGCAACTACCTGATGTTAAAAAACTGGAAGCAGAGGACGAACGAGAATGACTTGGAACTACCTAATAGAAATATAAGAAATAGATGAGAACCATCTTCCTTTCAAATAGTGACCATTTTCTTACGTTTGATAAACTTTAAAGATCGTTTTTATGTACTACCTACCGTTCTTAATATATTTCTTGGCAATGAATTCGTTGAATTTGTACTCATTTTGTCTAAACTCATTGAACTTGGTGATGAACGAATTGAAGTCGAATGAGGAAGTGAATCCAACGATATAACAGATGGTGGGCGGCGAAGGTGTGGACTAAAAATTAGAAGAACGTAGATAAATTCATCTCATATTTATATAGGCATATCTCTCTTTTAAGATAAGAAGATTACTAGGGAATACTCACGGTTTTCCATTTCCATCTGTTACGTGGCCCTGTTGCTGTTGTTCTGTTTGTTCATCTCTATCCTCGATTTGTGGTTCGATCTGATACGATAGTTGCCAGCTAAAAGAAGCGAAAAGAGTGGACTGAAACTGGAGAAAAAGAATTATAGAAAAGTAAACAAAAACAAGTAATGCTTATAAGACACTGATAAAGAGCCCTTTAAAATATTCGATGCACGTTCATTTGCAGTCGGCTGTCTTTCCATCGCATAAGTACTAAACGTTTAATAATATTTACCTTTCCGAATCTGTGTATGTTCTAACATTGTCAAACCAGTGTTTAAACCTTTTTATGGGCATAATTCGATAAGAGTTGGCAGCTGATTGATATAATTTCAATTGAGCCAATATTTCAAATTCTTTTCGATGCTTCTCAAAATTTATCAACTGTTCGATCTGATTCGGAAATGCTGAATCAACATAAGTTAAATCACTCAAATATAAACCCAAATAAGGAACGGTACCAATCACCGCCTAAAACAGTTAATATACACTAGAAGTAGAAATTATAAAATCATCCCATATCAGATATTTGACACGTTTTCAGGACAAAAAATTTAGCGTTAAACTACAGCAGCAGCAATTTGTTTCAGAACTTTAACATCTTATCTACAACAGCTGAAAGATGGTTTTAGTTTACGATAGATTTTTTTTTCCAAAGAAAGTTATGTTTAGCATCATTGCCGTCCTCTCGAAAGATTTTCTAAATCCCCACCCGCGTATTGACGCATGCGCTGGTAATTCCGTTTTATATAAAAATCTCAATAGAAGACATACTCATGATACGTAAGGAGACATGCAACACGGTAACTGAGAAATAATGAAGACTCACATGCCACTCTACATCTTTAACAGCATATGCATCATTTTATTCTCTTTTAATCTGTTTTTGTATAGTGCGACAGTAATAACTCTTGTTTATCGAGATAAAGCTTCTCTAATTTTAATAACCTTGGTACAAACAGTTACTCTAACCACTCACTACTATTATTGACTCTTACAGGTCTGTTGTCACGATTCATTTTTTGCCGTAATTTTCGTCCAAGTGTACCGTGAATTGTATCTACGTCAACATACTTTGCTGTACCTTCCTAGAATAAATGATCAAAAATTGTTTCTGACTGGTAAAACATATATTCTAAACGAACATAGATTCACTACAAAAATTAAATGAAGCAACGAGAAAATCATAATCCGTGTGAAAAATGTTTCGCAATAAAAAATAATAATAAATTAGAGCAATATGTGAAAAAGCAATGACGGCGTGTTGCGTAATCATGTATATTGTTGGTTTAAATTAGCATTTTTGAAAATAAATTAATGAAATGACGACAGCGTCACTTCAGTACTCATCCCTCTAGTGAACACGAGAAAGATCTACCGCTTTTTGAACACCGAATAAAAAGCAGAGCTAATATTCTATTACTGAAACTAACGAGTTTCATTCCTTAATACGACCAGTTAGAATAGTATGATGGTTATTCAATCTTTCCTTGGTCGTAAACAAAGAATTGTATCGTGGACAACAAACTGAATAATAGGGTGACATTTTTCATAGGGTAATGCCTTGAAACAAACGACCAGAAATAAAAAGCAAGTTTTATCAATTACAATCCCAAATCTGTGCATATACTTCTCACAGAAACATGCAACAGCAAGCAACAAAAAAAAAAAATATATCGAGCTCAGCAAACAGTAAGAAAACAATAACATCATGCATATCAAAAATGTAGACATGCTTATTAATCATTCTCTTGTCAGAAGAGAAAGTATGTGTATGCGACACGTATTAAAAAACGAACCTACTCTGCAATCAGCCAAACGAATGTCGTCTAAGAGCTATAAAAATAATAATGAGAACAAAAACGAATGGATTTTAATACCAAAGATCGCTACTCGCGACTACCTAATTCAAGGAAACGTTTAAAGTGGTCCTTCCTTAGTAAATAATATCACATTATTTGTCGTTTTAACGTCAAACACGTTATATATTCTCGTTAATTCTCGTATGTCATCAAGTTTCTTAAACCGATACTAACCTTATTTAATATTTGTCTTGCTTGTTTTCTGTCGGCACAACTACCAAATACTGTCCTTAATTCGTCGAATATCGTCATTTTCGATCTAAAATACAAGAAAAAATGCTAAAAGATTTATTCTTACAAAGTATTTTTGAGTAAATATACTTCGAAACAGACTCCCAAGCGTGTTGTAATCGATGAATGCATCCGGCAGATAATCCATTTAAGATGGCTGTTAATGAGGAGAAATTTTTCAAATTTCGACATTCCTACAATTAATTTATAAGTTAAAATGATAGTTCAAATTAAACCATAAAATGTCTCTATATACTTGTGCAATATCGATCCATTTTTCAATAATTTGCGCTCGTTTTAAATGTACTAATGAGCTATCTTTTAGAATCGTTGCTATAACTCTACCCACAACAGAATTAAAATGATCAATGGTAGCAGCTACCGTGGATAATTGACGATGAGTTTTAGATAGACATCTTTTATCAATACTTAAACATTCATATGGTAATACACGTTTTAATAACTCCTACAACGACATAAAACAAGTACATCTTATCATTCAGAATAGTGAGTGTATGTAATTTACTTACAGCATCAACATAAGTTAGTTGTTCAGCAAACAATGAATTTGGAATATCAATAAATTCCCATGGCATCACATAATCATAACCGTGTACACCATATAATCCACCATTCGTCTCAGAACTTTTTGCTGGTAAAAATGATTCGTCAGCTGTTATTCCTGAATCTAAAAGAAAAATATTTCTATTTGTCTATTCTATAATATTTTTAAAAATTATTCATTTTAAAATATTTAAAAAAATTTTTTAAAATTTTACTTGATTTTCTATCTTCATCTTCGATAAATTTTTCTAATAATGTATGACACTGTTTATTTAATTCTTTATCATTAACTGCTTTTGAAAAATCCAGTAGACGTCGAAGACACGTATAGCATGGGGCATCACGAAAATCCTCTTTATACGTTGTTAATAGGCAATTCAGTGATAATCGAATATTCCTAAAACAAAATAAAAAAAACAATGATATCTTTTCAATAAATGTGTCTAATAAAAATTTTGTGCTCCATTTTAACCACACCACAGCACACGAATGATACAAAATAATAAAAGTAAACATATTATTAGTACAACAACAAATAATAGGAACAATATCATTCATGCAAAAAATTAGAGAATAAAGCTTTAGAAATCGAATGAAACGTAAATAGTAATAAAATAGTAAGAATGATAATCCATTCATACTCGCTACATTTGAGCTCACTATAAAATAAAATAGAGAGTACAAAACTAGCCATATACTATTAAATTAATATTATTCAATAAAAATCACATGATTATCTATCAAACAACTCTAATTCACAATTCATAATCTTACTTGAGACTTTTCTGTCGAACATCTTCTGTCATATCCAATGTAGCGGGAACAATTAATTTGTACCTTAAAATAGAAAAAGATAAATATAAAGTTAATACAAATAATAAAAATTTGCTCTACAATATAACCTTTGTATAATTTCGTCACATAACGTTAATGGATCTGTAAAACTTCTATATGTTGAAAATAGGGTATGCATGTGGGTTGAATCCAATTCTCCTTGATCATTTGTTAAATATTCGACAATTTTTGCTAAAGTGCCTGCTTTTAATTGAACAACTTTAACGGTATGATATAACAGTGAGCCATCAGACGACGTTGCAGTCGATGAATTGTGACTCTGAAAAAGTAGTACATTGGCTAGTAAAAAAATTAATAATAAAAATATTTCTTTCTAGTCCTGTGGATAGATCATGTGATGTTGTTTCACGTTTAGTCATTTTTGATTTAAATTCGATCTCAACTATTTCATCTGAATTTGGAGAATGATTATGCTCAGTTAATTTAATCTATTGTGCAGATTGTGTGCACAATGATAATGAACGTCAAGAAGAAATTGATTCTTTTGCTGTAGAAGATTTTATAATTAACATTTTTTAAAAATAGTATAAATGAATGAACTGATTTTGTAAAGAACACACGGGAATTACAAGAAAGCTAAAGTTTGTTTAAATGTAACGCCAGATAAAATAAAAGTTTACACTTACAAACACGCAGAAAAAGTTTAGACAGTGAAAAGATGTTGTTTTAATACAGTTGTAAATACTCTTAGAGTATTCTGATGAACAACAGTGCAATGCAATTTGTTTCAGTTCTCTATAGTTTTTGGTACAAAAGAACCAGAACCAGATTTTAGAGTGTAGTTCCTGCATTGGACCTGTTTATTATGTGAGTTTCTCTCAGTTTGGCGGGTGAATGAACGACTGACAGGACTACTATGAGAAAGAACACTGCAATTATGGTAAAGTTTATAGAACTAAACTAAACGTGAAAATTTTCTCCCAGAAGATAATGGTGGTAACTTCAACTGATTCGAAAGGATAGTAGAACTGGATACATAGTAGTATTGAAATATTGATTCTACATCCTAGATTCTGTATTTTGTTTAATACAGATGAGTGAGTGGAATAGAATAAATTAAAGATGATAGAACCATACTCCAAGTATAGTAAAAAGAATGGTGGATCGATGTCTGTACTTATATTTAGAACTCTCATTCTTGCAACAGTTTGAAAGTCAAATCAAATTTTAATTAAACATTATTTAGAAGTATCAATAAAAACTGAAACTTTGTCAGATTTATATATAAGTATGTCTTCATTTTGATAAACAGTTTCTGTACCATTATCCAAAAACCGTAATTTCATTAATTAAACTGAATTATAACTTATATATTATTTTTCACTGTCCATTTTATCATGGTCTTTAAGTGAGACTCAACTGTTTTGAAACTCAAGCGTCGGTAGGCTTAAATGTCGAGATGTTGGCGTACCCTCGAAAACTTAAAACCACAACTGTTTTTTTCTTTTTTTCTATTGTTACCTGTTGAATTTCATCTGAATCAATTTTTTGTCGAACACGTTTTAAGTATATTCGATAAATAGCATCGTCTTGTTTTTCTTCGGATAGTAAATAAAGTTGATGCCCATGCTAAAGCAAAATAAAGTATTATTTTTGATTAAAAAGGATTCAATTTTATAAAACGAGTCAAGTTTGAAAATATAAAAATTGCATAATTGTCTTCTTACACATAAAAATATGTTTCTTTTCTCGTAAACATTTTGTATTTGTATAAAAATATTTGTAACAAATAGTATTTTTGTTCATAGATATAATGGTAAAAATTACTAGAATAGGTATGTAACTGAGCATTTCAAATACGCTGTATTCCGCAGTATAACACTGTCATAATTTTAATTACAATCAAACATAGCACAAAAAGAAGAAGACTTCGAAGAATATGTCTGACCTCGATGACTATAGAAACAATATGACATCAAAAATGAACTAATAAAAACGGAAGTACACAAAAGAGCATACAGTTCAAAACTTGGATTAGAATAGAAAGTCCAAATACATTTTGTAACCTTATACACATAGACAACTTCTTTATTTTTTTCCAAGAAAATTATCTTTTTACATAAAGCACAAAATAGAGGTGCAGCTTACCTTTTTTGTTTTTAAAATGACAATAATTTATACCTTACTTCCGCAAAAACATAGAGTTATGAGAAAAACTAGTACGGAAAATAGCCAATAGATATATGCAAATATAGAAAGAAAGCAGAATGGGCAAGCAATAAGTTTGAAGTTAAGATAATATGTTAGAAGATAAACAGTTAGATATGAATTACTAGGAAAGAATTTAACATGAATGAGATTGAAGCACAATAATACAAAAAACTTAGCCAGATGATAGAAGATCATTTTGATATAAATGAAACATAAATAACTTCAGTCTTATTGAATCAACTTGAGAAAAAGACAAATAAAAACAAGACACTCACCAATTTTTCTTCATATTCTGCTATTTTTAGATTTTTTTTACTAATAGTTCCTATATTATTTACAGATGAACGTATATTCCAAACAATTTTGTTTAAATTTTCCTGTATACTACTTTGTCTCGAATAATTCCAATCAAAACGATTTGATTGAGTTGATGGAGATGGTGATATAGGTATAGATGATTTTTTTGAAGTACGAAAAACGATAGATGGTTCTGATAATGCTGAAGTTAATGTTGTATACATGTTTCAGATTTCATGTGTCAATAAAAGAGAGAAAAAGATTAAAATAAACTATTTTTTCGTTGATGATGATGATAAAGTGACGTTATCAAATACGTATTATTGAATTTCACTCATCCTTTTTTCATCTAGATAGATAAAATGGATGTTTATAAATGGCATGCTTTGTTTTTCTCACATGTTTTAACGAGGACAAAGAAGAGAAAAAAAAAAGGTTTTTTTTGATAAAAGACAAAACAGAACAACATTATCAACACCTTCTTCAGAGACTCGCACACACAAAAAGGCAAACAAGAGAAAAGACGATTACGATGATCTCCATAAACGTATATCTATATATACTGATAAATTCATTAATATAGATGAAAAGGACATTTCAGGACAAAAGAAAATTTATTTCAAAACAAGATATAAACAAGAATAATCGAAATCCGAAAAAAAAAAGACACTCATAGATTGTGTAATTTATTTGACTTCAATCTATAGTCTTTACATCTATTCGTTTTTACAAAAGAGGTACGTTTTTTCTCTCAAACAACTATCTTTTTGACTTGTTTTCAAAACTGACTATCGTAAAAGACCTAAAATGATGCTTAGAATGGATACATCTACCTTCGTCTTTGTAACAATCTTCGACTTACATTTTTTCATCAAAACTATCCAGTTGCTTCTTTCCCTTTGATCTAATATAGGGGCGAGTGTATACCGAATTCTTCATTTCAGAGTTGATTTATATCTTTATTGTTTCTAATAATAAGGCTAGCGGCGAACCATTGTAGGCCAAAATTTCAGATTTAAATATCAGAGGATTTTCAGTAGATTACTGTAACGATGAATTCTCTTTTCCTTCAAGATGCATTACCTCGCATTCTGAAAGTGAAAGTGGCATTTTTTTTAACAAAGTTAAGTAGCGTATTTGATTCATATCTAAATGATAAAAAATTTCGTAGAAGAAGTAATTTATTTTCTTCTACATAAATATCCGAATAGTGCATTCTCTTCTCTTCATTTCACTTATTTTGTTACAACAACAAAATCCTAATTGTGTTTTTTTTTATTACTGATAAACAAGAGAAAGACTATATTCTATTTATATATAACATATTTTTTCATGTAAAAAAAACTCTTAAGTTATTTATATGAAAAAAAACGTAGATAAATTTACATTCATTAGATATATTTACAAACGAAGTGTCCCACATAGCAATGGAATGTTTAAGACTGAGTTAAGCAAAAGCGTAGTCAAAAGGATTTGCAGCATGTTGTAACTACAGTCAGTATTCTTTCATTCTTTCTTTTTGTGCGTGTTATTATACAACACACGTCCTCTCTAATTATTATAAAGCCTTGTACGCAACACTTTAATAATATCAGTTTAATTAACAAACACACAAAAGAAGAAATAGACTGAGTATTGTCTAATAATAATTATAGATCCCAAGCAAATTATGTAGACTTTTAAATTTAAATAGATGATGTATCCAGTGTTTCGGTGGTAGCAAAAGATTTATACCGTATAACTTCTAAAAAGCAACAGTAATTGATAAGAAAACAAGAGAGAATTTTCTAGTAATTAGAAAATTGATAATGGAATAGATCAGATAATATATTAGAAGATAAACAGTTAGATATGAATTACTAGGAAAGAATTTACCAAGCGTTATATTCGGATTAAATTAGAAATAATCCAAAAGAACAAATTAATTAAGCAATAAGAGGTTTGCAAAATATGTTCTCAGATGTTCTTCTTCAATTTCAGCCATAGACAGTTAGTACTTTATTTCTATTAAAAAAATGTTGACTAAAATTTGTAAATATCTAATTTTTTTCAACTGTCTCTAAAGTCATATTAACTTATTTTTCTAAAAAGTGCTCTTCTTGTTGTCTATTTTCGTACTTCTATTTATATTAAAAATTGTGCACTTGGAGTTAATATTGTATGATGGTCATACATGAGACTCGATTGCATTTTTAGTTTTCAAGAGCATCTGTGAACATTGCAATGCATAGATATAAGGATTAAATAACAAGAAAATAATTAAACATGCGTAAAACAACAGCAAAGCGATTAAATAATAAGAGAAATGAGATTTTCAAATTTATACGTCTTACTTGTTTTTCTTTATTTCCCATTGTGGCTCTTCTTGGTAATGCCATTGATGACTTCATGATCAGAGTTAAATTATCTAAATTATTTTTGATCATTATTCATTCTTACTTTTCATTTTATCTATGTTTCCTTTTTTCAAATGGTTTAAGTTTAATTTAGCATGTTTTCGTTCTCTCTCTCTCTCTCTCTCTATGTATTTAAATATCCAAGGACAAAAATAACCTTTTTTTGTTAGAACAATGTAATATTAATGATTAAGTTCAATGTATACGGAGAATGCAAATTGTTATAATACATACTTTATTATAGATAAGAATAAATAAATAAACAACTTTCTAGCAGGGGACTGTTTTCTAGTGAGAAAAAGTCGATTTTATGAAGAAAAAAAAGCTATAAAATGGTTCACAACATCCTTGTTCAATTATACCCGTTTGTCAGAAAAGAAATCAAAAGAGGGAACACATTTAAATCTATAATTAATCTTTTTAATTAGTCTTTCGATTCCCGCATTTTAATATTTTCTATTTTTTTAACGCTCCAAATATTCTAACATACTGCACAGCGGTACAAAAAAAGGAAAAACAGTACAAAGACAATTCTAGAATATAGTAAACAAGATTTAGTTAGATTTTTCGACTCTTTCAAACATAGATGATCATTTCAAATAATAAGAAAGCAGTCTGAAGATTGATAAAACAGTCTCCGTTAGAAAAACGCAATTGATTGAATCAAAGCTTTAGAAAAATTCAGACGTAAATTAAGATTTTCGAATCCACATCATTCTATACATTCCTGATAAAGCTCAATTCTCTAATTAAAGCAATCGCCTTTTTCTCAACGCAGCAGAAGTGTACGAAACAAAAGATCTTTTTTCACCAGTCTATAAGTGCTAAAAATATAAATTATGTAACAAAAATCAAACCTACAAGTTCGGTGTTAATATGGCAGTAGAATTTGTTGTCACTATCATTGTTCGACTTAATACAAAGTGACATAGGAATTGTTTGTTTAAATGGCACCACCAGGCCTTATTCTGGGAACGTCTCCGTTGTACTTGGAGAAAAAATGACGAAGAAAAACAACAGAAATAATAAACAAACAATGTATATACATACACGTAATACACTGTAGAACATGCCAAAAACGATCAATCGATGAGTCATCCATCGAACAGCCATCAACAAGTTACAGAAAAATCTATGATTTTCAAAGAAAATAGAGAAAAAACAGAAATTGTAAATAGTAGGTTATAGAAACGCTTAATTCTATCATCAGACAGATATTCGCAGAAAGTATGAAAAAAGCGACATGAATGAAATACTCCTATTCACTAGGAAGGACATCTAGATTATGATGCCGATAATTCACTAAAGAAGAAACTAAAAAGTTATATGTTCATGTAAGCAGGATAAAAACGGAATAATTGGGAAGAGAAAGTCAACATACACAATTTAATAATAATGTATAGTGGTATCTTAAAGAAAAGGAAATTCTCAGGCCAATCCTGTTGGCTATTAACAACAATTTTCAGAATGCTGTACATCAACAATATTTTTGTAAAGATTCTCATAACAGGAGTATAAGTGATATTATATTTTGGGACCTGACTCCACTCTTGGATGGTCTGACTGTTCATGGTCGTTGAACAGTATCGAGCGGATTAAAATGAGAGTTTAGATTACTATCATGACACTGGTATTTTATGTTATACAGATTGAATATCCTGTTTGAGACTGTTTGTGAGTGTTATACCTAGCAATTTAACTTTGTGCACCTTTCTAGGATCATTTGAGGTTAGTCAGGTCAACGAAAACTGATATTTAATCACTCATGCATAGCCTATTCACTGGATAGCGAAAAAATTGGTTTTTAATTAATAAAAACTATTGAAAAACTGCTCGTTAACAGTTAGTTTTTTCGTGAATCACGATCTAAAACAGACGTTTAACTGCGCATAAGACTGTAGTTCACATCAGTCGTTTACTACTAGTTAGCATGCCATTTTAGAACAGACGACGTATCAGGAAAAACTAGCATTTAACGTTGGCAGCCGAATATCTATTTTTAATCATTTACTCAACAGACCATTCACTCTTTTGTTGTACTACTTTGACTAATATAAAGTTGCCTCTGATTCTTTTGAGAAAACCTAGATTCTTTTTCGATTACACAGATCGTCGAAAATAGTCTCACGGAAACAACGTCTAGTTCTGAGACTGATACCAGTGACGGTACTATGGTCCAAAGGAACCACAAATATTGAAATTTGTGAATTCAGTCTTTTTTTTGTGAGGTTATCAGTCAGACAAAAACTGACTTCAGTAAACATTCGAACAATAGATCGTTAACGGTCCAGTCCATAAAGATGTAATACCGACTTCAAAACGGAGATTATAAAATGTTCATTTTTGATCGTAATATAAAACTGCCACTTTGAGGCATTAAAACGTTCCCAGTTTAAATGCCTAAAAACGGTTAAAAAGTTATCATAATGGTCTAAAAATATCCATTTAATAAATATTGGATAGGTTATTAATTGGTGTTTAATACATAATTAATCACACCACTTTCGACGTCCTGGGCACCCATATCGAACATTTTTATTACATATCGCCGGCTAACTGCAGTTCCCAACAATACCGTCAGTTATCGCGACGTAATCTGAAACCGCTCAGATCAGATAATCGAGCGGTATTCTCCACACATCGGTGCGAAGAATGCCGCTCGGTACATCATTTCAAAATTATTAACCTTTTGTTTTGATGGTTAGGGCAGTACATAACAACAACTAAAAAATTAAGAGATTTCCAACTTTTCTCTCATTGATTCGTCGAAGTATATGAACTTTGAGTAATGATATAATGATATGTCTATAGTTTTCGACATCCGTTCTATCTACTTTCCTGTAAAACAGATAAATAATTGCAGTCTTCCAAATATGCGAAAACTGTCCTCTTTCACCTGTTTTATTCATGAGATATTGTAATTAAGGTTGATGACTCTAGTTACACCTGCGAATTGAAACGAAGTTGATAGAGAATAGAGACTACTATCCATTTCAAAATATATTAGGTGCGACTCCGACGCGAATAACTGGATAATCCAAGCAGCGATCGACGTGCAATTTTTACCACTCGAACGAGGAGACAGGGACACATCGATCTATGTAAGAATCAAAATTTTCGAAAGGATCCCCAGATATTCTGGCAGGCTCTTTGAAAAACCTTCTTAGTAGAGGCTGAAGGTTGATGAAATTTCGACTTCCAGATATTCATTCAATAGCCCAAACATTTCTCTACAACTCTACGCCGTTTCCATCCTTTTCTGATATTTCTATAAGGCTCCAGCCTCAAAATACAAACGGTTCCCAAAACGCATTTTTCGCCTATATAAAAACAGTTACGATGTGAATTAGTCGTTTCCCTAACGAGAAACCGTTTTTAAATAACCGAAAAATGCGTTCGTATGGTAAAAACTGCACATCGATAGTTGCTTGGGTTCTCCAGTTATTCGCATCGCAGTCGCACCTAATATATTTTGAAATGCATAGTAGTGACATTATTTAGTTTAAACGAATTGTATTTCATATTAAAATCGTCCGCTAAAATGAATTCATTTCGATTTTTGACGTTCACTAGCACAAACTTTTCGACATTGTACTCAAACATTTCTCAGTTTCTTTTGTTATTTTTTAGATCCCGATAAACATTACATAATGTAGAGTGCTTCCTGAGAAATGTGTAACACATTGTGACCATCTCAGTAGAAATTCATAGTCCTGATTCGGCAGATCATGTCGTTTAAAAGATCGGTAACAAAGTTTATGTCGAGGGCAGAAGAATTTGACTTTTATCTTCGTATAGTTAGACAGACATATATGATACATATCATTATTAGAATATAGAGAAAGAAAATAATGACTCCTTCCATCTATTATACTATAGAAGAAGCAATGAGTTCATTCAGCTGCACAATGAGTTGGTATATTTTTTATTAAAAAAGTGAAATAGTATTGCAGAGCATTGGAGAAGATATTCACCATTTAGATATAAATATGCGCCTATTAGTGTAAATCACTAGATACAAAAATATCTAAGATTAATCAATAATATTGATCAGATCCTTTTGAATAAGCGTTTAGTATTAGTAAAAACACTCTAATACGTTGAATGAGTTTGCAATCTATCGACCAAATTAGATTTTTTTTTTTTATCTTTTCAAAAGGTATAGATAAAACAAAGGCGAAAAGTACTAAAAATGGAAACTCGACAAATACATCACAGAAATTGAAAAAAAATGTGCCATATTTAAAATCATAAAATCACATAAACACCACTAGTACCAATTTTGTTAAGTATCACAATACTAATGAAAAATCTTACAAAAAATAAAATAATCTACAATCATTTTTCTCATAAAGACAAGAAGCGACAATCTGATTACACACATAATGGATTCATAATAGAGTCCTGCGAGGCAACCTTTTCTGAAGACCCTGAGTGTTGTCCCGAACCTGTCTGTCTCGTGAAAAAAAAATGACGAGTTTTTTGTTCCTTCCCGTTTGTCCCATAACGTTTTTGAAAAATTTTTCTGTTGAAGTAAACCGTAACTGTTAAAAGAACGCTTAAAGTCTGAAACTTATTTTTACAAAATCTGCATATCAAAATTTAAGCCTAATTTATTTGATTCTAAACTTAAAAGTTCTTCCTGTTTAAAAAAATATTTTACATCCACTCTCTAATTTAGAATCGAAAAGAAAGAACTGTAAACCGAGTTTTAGATATAAAACATTTTCTCAAGTTTAAATCCAGATCATTTTGTCTCTCCAGATTAATTTTTATTAGTTATTATAAAATGACGGTTTTGATTTGATGTATTACAAGAATTAAACTTTTGAAATTGCTACATAATTACAATCAAGAGACAGATCTTACGGGATAACATTTTTCTGCGTCTTATTTCAATCCCGTAAGCCCAGGTCTGTAAAGTTATTTTTTCCCCTCTAGTCCGTTTGTCCCGTCTGAAGGGCAGACGGGATAGAATTCGGAGCTATCCCGCAGAACTCTAATCCATAAACACAATTGTGAAAAACTTGCATTTGTCTTTCTGTTACTCATACTACTACTTACCAGAGAATAATAAAAGAGAGTCCTATGAATTGAAAAGTTATTATTAGTATAATAGAAGCCAAATATAAAACTGTATTTAGAAGACTTTACTCTATTTTGGATATTTTTCATTTATGCATCAACATCGTGATCGATAATAATCAGTAGAATTAATTTCTTCGCCGCTAATTTTTGATCTAAGTGGATGTGGTGGTGCTGACACTGATAAATCTAAGGACGTTCTTAATCGTGCCAGATCAGTATTTATTGAATGATAACGATTTTTTAATAGATTATAATTATTTATATTAAAGTGAATTTTTTTTGCTTCACGATAGAATCTTTTCAAAAATAAACGATCAGTTAGAGTTAAATATTCAAAATCAGAACGAGTCAATAGATAAACAGCATAGAAAGTCATTGACGTAGAAAATGCAATAAAATATGAGATTGGTTCAACAATATCCTAAAGAGAAAATATAATAGTAAAATTAAGAGAAAAATAGGTAGTTGAATAAAAAAATTTACCCAAGAATAATCCACCCAGGTTAGATGAGCTAGCATTCCTACTTGAAATGCCATTCCTGCTAAACCATACCATACACATCGACTTGTATAACGTTGAGAAATGTTGGCCAATTTGTTCTTAATCTAGTAATAAATAAATTCAATATAATCAGTTGTGTTCAAAAAGTTATCATTACTTACATCCTCTAGAGGTGTCAATTGTTTGTTTAATTCTTCTAATTCGTCTTTGAGTTGTATATGTTTTTGATTGTATAATTTCATGATATTAAGTGCTTGATATAAAGCAGCTACGGTATTATTTGTACTGAGCAAGTCTGTTTCATCATTATTTTCATTGGTTAATGAAGATCTTTCCCATTTTCTCTTAACATTTTTCAAATTTGTAATCGGATCAAACAAATATGTTCGCTGCTTATTTATACATATGCAAAATTTCATTTGCATGAGTGCTTCAATCGAAAATGATTTTGATAATGTTTGACCATTTTCCTGCAAGAGTTGAACGTGATCAATTCCATTATCTTCTTGTTTTATTTCATCGATTAGTTGTCCAACAGTTGCCGTGTTTGAATTGAGATAAAAACGACACGTTTCATTTCGAGATGGTAATAACAATGATAACATGAGTACATTGTCGGCAAAACTAAGACTGGGCTCTAAATAAAATAGAAAAAAGAAAACGTTTTAATTGTACGTAAACTGGATGGAGAAAGGATCGAGTTGGATAATATTAAAAATCTGACATCTGCATAAGCAATTGATAAAAATGGATAAATAAAATGTGAGATACGAATTATTACTGCAAACATCTTCAATGAAGATCTTAAAATCATAGAATATTTTGGAGAAAAAACGATCGAGAATCTGCACTTATTTATAAAAATATCTTTACTTCTATATACAAGACTCTTTCTTACTTTGACTAACATTCTGATCCTTTATTAATTTTTTTTTTCGTCCAAACATAGCAATGACTAGGAGTGCATCGGTTATTTTTTCGTATTTTTCAAAAATTCACAATAAATGTTTTGTATTTTCATAAAAACGATTTGCAACATTTTTCTAAAACGGCAGTTTTGTAGAGAAAACATTTCTCTACAA